TTTGCTTACTTATTAAATGAAGATTATTTGAGTTTGAGTTAGTATATCAAAAGACAAGTATTGTGCACCACTGAGTGGTACGCTCCACCTGATGGGTGAGTTGTCCGTACTCCCGGTGGTGGTGCACCCCGAGATGAACGTGTTAAGATTGCAATTTGCAGCAGATTACTAAATAGGAAGCGTAAAATAATGAATATTTAATATATATTTTTTAAATTTAATATATATTTTTTATGACACTAAGTGATGAGACAAAGAAGCGCCTGATGGTAAGCTACACGCCTGTCCATGACAGGTGCAGTGCCAGTCAGAGCTTTAAATCGCAAAGATCTGAGGGGCACTGCCACTGCGCCCGTCACCCTGAGACATGCGTTGACAAGTCCTATGTGCCTATAATTTCACCAGCACCCTTAACCTTTAAAACCGTAACGCAGTAATGCTAACATTACTGCTTGGCAGCAGAAATAGGTAAGGTGGCAGTACTTCCCTGGACGAACTCTTCCACAAGGACCTCTACTGCTACTAAATCTTATATTACCCATGTGATGCAATGAATACGAATTTCCATATAAATATTAATATTACACAATATCTACTACTTGGTGCCTGTGCCTTCTATGGACTACCTAGACAAAAACCATTTAAAACATGCTTTACTTCGCGTAGTAAGATTTGTACTTAGCAGGTTACATTAATAAGCTATAGTTTATTCAATTTCACTCTGCCGTTTAATCTTGTAGCAATCTATAATAAAAAAGCTTCAAGTTTAAAAAATATACATTTCAGGTCCGTTTAATTAGTATTGGCTTTAGACTAGTTTAGAGTAACCAACTGCATGAGACCTGATAACAAATTAAATTTATATATCGAGTTCTCAGGTTTACGCGATTCCTACACTATTTAGATAGGAAAAAATAGTTTCATTAAATTTCTATGGTTGTTTGCACAGTGTAATTAAAACACAATAAAAAATATTCGAATTTTCAAATGTAAGAAATACGATATTCTACAGAAACGATTTTTTTGAAATACGTCGATTCCCTAACTTACGTCTTTTTAGGAGTTGTTGTGAAAAACCCTGCAACACGTATTTATTTATTTTGTATTTAAACTTTCCCAACCAAGTTTGAAGCAAAAAAACGGGTTTTACATAGAGACTCTATCGCGTGATACAGCCATCATGCGCGATAGAGCGCGCGTGTAAAGATGTTGAAAGGAAAAGGGAAGACCGCGCGCGCTCATCAGTAACGCGCGCAATCGCGCACTCCAACACGCGCCAGTTTCACGCGGTCTATCCTGCGCTATTTATTAGCCATTACACGGACGCTCTTTTCGTTGCAACAAAAACGAACACGAGCAATCGCGCGCGAAAGAACGTTAGTTTAAAAAAAATTCAAACAGGTAATCGCTCACGATTGCGCATCTGATCACGCACGATAGAGTGACTGTAAAAGGGGCTAATGGCACCATGCCTTAAAAAGTTCATAGACAAACTTTAATACCAAATTTCAATACCTTTGTTTTGGAAAATGCTGAAATACGTGTTTATTTATTTTGTACATTATATCCCTATTCTTGTTTTATGTTAACTATTATTGTTTATTTCAACATATTATTATTATTATTGTAACATTGTGGCATTAACAATATGAAATAAATTGTTATATCTTTTAATTAAAACAAAAACGCCCTAATACGCGCACGTTTACCAATTAATTTTAGTTGTGCCGTCGCGCCGGTAGTTGAAAGGACGTACGAACATGTGACATTTTCCAAAAATTTTGTTGTGCATACTGCCCTGATCAGCAAAAAAAGCCGAGTTGTCACTATTTTTATTTTTTTCTAGGTGGATAAGGTATGAAGTTTTTGCTTCTTTAATTAATAATACAATTATTTTAATAAAAAAGTCATATTGTTGAAATAAAATAATCATAAAACAGATGTAGCGAAAATTGGAATGTTCCTAATATAAAAATATTTTATTTTATTTAAACACTTTATTGTACCACAAAGTAACTTACAAATTTTCAGAAACAATTTAAATATTTGTGTACAAAGGCGAGCTTATCCCATAAAGAGATTTCTTCCAACTAACCTTTATAAAAAATAAGGTATTTAATTAATAACTTTTGTTAACTAAACGAAAAATAAGGTGGTTTGGATTAATATTAGACATAACTGGTTGATGACTGTACCACCTCAGTCAACCGTGACCATGGGACCTGTAAAGGGCCCGAAACGTTGGTTCGTTTGAAAAAACAAATATACGCAATTTAAATCAGGAAAATTAGTTTCATTTCCTATAAGTTTTTAGTAGCAGTAGAGCTCCTTGTGAAAGAGTTCGTCCAGGGAAGTACTGCCACTTTACTTATTCCTGCCGCCCAGCAATAATGTCAGGATTACTGTGTCCCGCTTTTGAAGAGTAAGGGTGCTGGTGAAATTACAAGCACATGGGACTTGTCAACTTACGTGGCAGGGTGACGGGCGCAGTGGCAGTGCTCCTCAGATCTTAGAAATTTAAAGCTCTGAGTGGCACAGTAATTGTCACGAACAGACGTGTAGCTTACCATCAGGCGCGCGACTTGTTTGTCCCGTCACTTGATGCTATAAAAAAGTATTTTTTTTAGTTTCTTTTCTTTAAACATTATTCCCTTAAAAGAACACCTCATCTCTACAAAAACAAATTTACTGTGTCATAGCAATATACAGAAAACGCAGTTAATAGATTATTGCGGGTCTCAGGTGTTTGCCGGCTCTGCGCCGGGCCGCGGCAATGGAGATTAACAACCCTTCCGTTAATCGAGAGAAATAGCGCAACTCGACTGCTAATTCGTATTATGCGATAATACTTGGGCAATAAACACGATTGCTCTAAGCCTTAGGGTTGATTGAATACTAAATAAAGATAAGGGTACATTTAAAACAAATAAATGTTAGGCAATGACTACAATATCTTGTCTGGAAGTAGACAATTGCATGTATTTATTTAGGCTTTTTGCACAGTAACATTGGCGGAATTAGTGCCGTAAGTCATTCTCTAGCAGTCAATATTAGGTCCAACATTAAAAAAAAACAATAGGTTAGTGCTATACTTAAAATAAGAATAACATTATAAAAAAAACCGACCACAAAAGGTCGTGGAATTACATCTATTTGCCAAGTTTAATTGAAATCGGTTAAGAGAAAGTGCGCGAAACTTAGATTCATACCCTAGTTTGCCACCTTTATGAGTGGAATACTTTCTTCCAATTTAAATACAATCAATACTGAGGTATACTTACCTCATTTTTTATTGGAAAGAGGATAGATCCTCTTTCCAATAAAAAATAACCATCAAAATCGGTTCGCAAATGAGTTACCGCGTAACATACATACAGAAAAATACCGTCGAATTGAGAACCTCCTCTATTTTGAAGTCGGTTAAACACAAATTTATTTATTTATTTATTTTATTTTTTTTTTTTAAATTTAATTTATACATTTTAGGAAAATTCACGGACAAATAATACAATTATAGTAGACTTAAATATGAGTAATCCAATGCCATTTACGAATTTCCACCTACATGAAACCATATACAGTGCTTAGCAAGCCAAAAAGAGATTACAGGAAAATACAAAGAACGCAGTCAATAAATTAAAAAAAAAAAAAAAAAAGAAAAAAAGAAACGAACATACCAGTGTATTCATCGCCAATCACGTGATGTGTCAAAGTGACGTTTGGTCATTTCACGCCTGACTGTGTCTATGCTTGAACAAAACAAATCAAACTCAGAATGATTTACTGTCGCATTGTTATAAAGTCTCAAAGCACGCACCGTGTACGTATTTTGCCTATAATTAGTGCTCGCAAACGGCACTTGCAGAGGTGGTCGACATCTGTAATGTAACAAGTTTGTGCGCAGGTTTATGTGTGACAACAATTCCGGACAATCAATCTTACCGTTGGCGATCCCCATCAGAAAACTGATGTCACTAATGTCTCGACGGACACGAAGCGGCAAAAAATGATACCTAGTACACCTATGCTCATAACCTGATGAAAATTGTTTAGTTTTGTAGTCCAGATAACGTAAAAATCTCTGCTGAATTGCCTCCAACCGAGACTTATAGCTTTCATAGCATGGATTCCAGACCTGTGAAGCGTACTCAAGGTGACTCCGTACAAAAGAGCAATAAAGAATTTTAATGCACTTGATATCACTGAACGTCGCCGATGTCCGAATAATGAATCCAAGTGCTTTTGATGCCTTACTTATTATACAGTCAATATGCTTGTCAAAAAGTAGTTTGTCGTCATGGAGTACACCCAAGTCCCTCATTTCCCTGACTCTCAATATGTTGGTGCCATGTAATTTGTAACCAGTGCCTATGGTTGATGTTTTACGGCTGAATGTCATGTAAAAACATTTGGACACATTAAGTTCAAGCCTATTTATAGTACAGTAGGCTTCAAATCTGCTTAAGTCTGCCTGAAGATCGTCAACATCTGTCTGCCCACGTATGACTTTTAGCACCTTCATGTCATCAGCAAAGAGCAGGATCTTCGAGTGAATAAAACAAGATCCAATGTCATTGATGAAGATGATGAATAATAGAGGTCCAAGGATAGAACCCTGCGGTACACCAGACGGGACTGATGTCCACCTTGACATAAAGCCACGCAACACAACCGCCTGACTCCTATTAGCTACGTAAGAAGCAAACCAGCGCAATAAATCTCCATGTATGCCTGCTACCATCAACTTGTTCAGAAGCACATTGTGATCTATGCGGTCAAAACATTTAGTGTAGTCAGTGTAAACTGCATCAACTTGTGCACGGCAAATGTTAACATGTACGTATAACACATATACAAAAGTATGTACCTATAGCGACATTATGCTGATCTTGATTTTGAAGATATATCCATTTTGAATGCCGGAGTAAAAAATTTAAAATTAAGCATAGATGCCAGACGTTTAATTTCATAATTAATTTACATTGAACCAGCCAACCTACCTTGACGCTGTACTTGAGACAGAGGAACGATGCGACCAAAGAAGTCTTTGTGGACCTGAAACAAAGAAACATAATCTTTAAAATTAGCTTAGGGTCGTAAATGTGCACAACTGAATACTTGCAAAATACCTCGTTGCCTACAACGAGATGTCAAATCTTATACTAAACGTATTCACGATCAACGAGTTTAGGAAGAAATTTGACAGCTAGGTGAGCACAATAGGCCGTTCTCTGAGCTCATCTTAATTTGTTAAATTTTTTGTCGATCGACATAATAGAATTTAAATTAGGCGTAGGTGCCTACTAATTTATTCAATTTTAATGATATTTATCGAACGCTAACAGGTGACAGCAACTATCCATAAAATCGAGCAAATCTGTTTGCTGTCAAATTCATTGACCGTCAAAACATATATCGAGTGACAATAACGATCGCCAATAACCTAACTTAACCTTCGGTTAAAAAAACCGACCTCAAAAGTCATTCATGCCCTAGTTTGCCACCCTTAGAGGTGGAATATTTTCTTGAAATTTAAATGGGACCACATCTGAGATACCTTCTTTCCAACAAAAAAAAGAATCATCAAAATTGCTTCACAAATGGCGGAGTTATCGCGTAACATACATACAAAAAAAAACTTACAGACGAATTGAGAACCTCCTCCTTTTTTTGAAGTCGGTTAAAAATCGACCAAATCTCTGGGCACTTTCAAGGGTGGGCCGTAAACACGCTGCATGAGCGTTGCGGATGTAGATTGTGTTGAATATATTTTATATTCAACAGATTGAGACTCCAATATGAAATTGCTTGAAAACTAGTTTATTCGGCGCTTATTGATTATAGGGCGGTAGAGCGTTCCGGAGTCGTATTGCCTGAAGAGTAAATGAGTTAGAAAGAAAACCAGTACGGTGAGAAGGAATTAAAAGAGTCAATTTGCTGTCTGAGCGAAGGTTGCGATTATGGGATGCACCCAAATATTGAAATATACATTTCAAATATCCAGGTGCACATTTATCATTAAGCATATAGTAAAGAGTGGAAAGTATTCTCAAATCACGACTCTGGCGAATCGTAAGCCACTTCAGCTCATTGCGAACTGCGGATACGTGATCAAATTTTCGAAGTCCATAAATAAAACGAATGCATCTATTGAGCAAGCAGTCCAATTTGTTGAGAAGTTGTCAATGTGTAGTCCCAGATTTACAACATGAGGTGCGAATACAATAGGTGTATCATTATAAGAAAGAGGCGCGAGAGAGCTCATGTCCAACCTAGTCAAGCGTGCGAACTCCACGACAATACCTTTTACATCACTGCATACAAACTGACAGAAAACTCCGTGGTCTGCAATGGGTTTTGAGGTATAAATATTGCATTTTTGCGCACTCATTATCGACAACAACATGCGCCCGCGGCGTTGTCGTCGGCGGCGGCACATCCTCCAATTAGCGCGTAGAGACGCGACGTCGTTAGCACGTTGTGGCGACGATACCTCGTCAGCGACAGCAAGGGTCTCTTCACATTTGCATCATTACACTCGTCACGGCCGCCTATTAAGACGTGACAAACTATGTACGTTACGGTTTTTTTTTCACACATCATCAAACATACGAATATCATGATGTTGTTATAATCATGACATTAGCATATTTTTTGCGAAAAGACTTATTACACTACTTTGGTCTTATTATTGATACAAATAGTAGTGTTACCACAGTCTAGCCAATATGTTACTAAGTCTACTATTATTACATACGAATTTCAATCGTACATCTTATCACATGGGTGCTTTTATAAAACACCCGCACCTGCGAGCAGTTATTAGTTCTACGACCAACTCAAAATAAGCAAGGAATGCAAGTCCAGCAAGCTTCTATTTAATATAACGGATAAAAAATAAAGGTATTAAAATTTTTTCCTACCAATACTTTGTGTATAACAATCAATAATCCTATCAAGTAAAAAATAATCTAACCTCGTAGTTCCACTCTACGAATAGGCTACGAAATTATGTAGCGATAACAGATGTGCTACGCGTTTCAATTGTTCATTCCGTTGATAGTTTCTACTGGAGCAGTTTTTTAATGTTTATTGGAATTTGTTTTAAACTGTGCTATAAAATTCTCATATGCGTCGATATTTCACTATTTCATACACTGTTATTAAGAAAGTAAGGGTCGGGGCTTCATCGACGTAGTCGCTTATGTTGAATCATTAAAACCTGCATTGCGGTTGTATCGCTGCTTAAGTCGCGCTTGTGTGTAGAGGTATATGATTAGCAACTGCATCCCTGTAGACGCTGCTAAGTCATCATCAGCATAAGCTTCCACGCATCCACTGCTGGACATGGACCGTAAGCTTCTCCCTGAGCACGTCGACTCTCCCGGTTCTGTGCCGCCCGTATCCAGTCGCTACTGGCCACCCTTTTCAGATCGTCCCTCCCATCATTCCGCAGGGCATCCTACACTACGTTTAATTCGTGGACGGTTAGACGTGGTCGACACTCCAGAACAAATCTGCTCCATCAGCCCCTTCTGCAGATATGTCCGGCCCACTGCCACTTAAGCTTACTGATTTTGCGAGATGTGTCGGTCACTTTAGTTCTCTGACGTATGACTTCATTTGGTATTGGGTCAATTAGAGAAACTCCAAGCATAGCTCGCCCATCCCACGCCGAGCGACTTTAAATTTGTGGATGAGGCCTATTGTTAATGTCCAGGTCTCCGGTTAAAAATCGCCGTGTGTAAATGCTCTTAGAAAAAAATACAGAGAAACAAAATCTTTATACAAGCGGTTATTATACAGCTTCTGCGTACTTAGAGATAGTTTAGTTCTTTCAAGTTGCTTCTATGTATGACATACGAAAAAAATATTGTAAATGGTAAAATCTGTGGTAAAATGTTAACAAATATCTATTTACAAAGAGATTTTAAATCATTCTCGCAAGAAAATCTGAGTGTTAGCCGCTCACGCGATGCGCTCCTCCTACCGCAAAATGGCAAATTTGGTTTCGCAAAATAGAAAAGCATTCAGTTTAAATACAAGTTTTTATAAATAAAAATTATTATTCTGCATTGCTAAACAAATACCCTCCGTACTACCAACAAAAACATCTCAAATAAAATGCAGTAATACACCGCAAATCCTGCAATTAAAAAGCACTAATGAAATTTTTGGTGTACTTGGATAAATATGATAATATTCCGTTTGAGTGATTCTAACATTTACCATGAAATTACTCCTTAAAGTATAGTTTATAAACATTTATATTCAGGGTAAACTTAAAAAACGCTAGTTACGGTATGTTTTCAATAAATAAACACCGAAATCACCAGCCCAAACAATAACACACACGATTGTCGTGACGTATTTTTGAAGTTGTTTATTTTTTTTAAATGACAGACCCAGGCATTAAAAACTTTATGGTTTGCTAGAGTAGTTACCGAAATAGCATTTAATATTAGTTCTTTTACCTGTTATAACTTCGATATCCGATAAATCGGTATAAAATCATCACCCGCACCTCTAGGTGTGGTATGCGTCTACGGCTGCATGTATCGCGTGAGCGGGTAGTGTTTGGGTTGAAACACTTAGACAATTGTCACTTATATGAGATTTTTTTTTAAGATATAATACGACGGAACGAACAAGTCGTGTGCCTAGTGGTGTACGACACGCCTATACATAACATGTGCTGTGCCACTCAGAACATTAAATCACAAAGATCTGAAGGCCACTGACACTGCGCCCGTCACCCTGAGACATAAGTTGACAAGTCCCATTTGCCTGTAATTTCACCTGGACCTGATTCAGAATCGTTCGATCAGATATCGTTCTGGAATTGAAGGGCGCTTTCCACGCTATTCAGAACATTCAGAGTTAAACGTTCGATTCGAATTCGGATACGATATCGTTATCCGACAGCGTTTACAGAGTTAGTCACTGAAATAGATTATAAGATAAATGAAAATCCTTTTATATACATTTAAGACTTTGTAAACAAACGTACACATTCAACATAGCCCGCACTAGGGAAACCCTGTGTCGCGGGTGCCATGGACACACACATAGACAACCTCAAATTACACCCAAACTCACGAGAGAAAGAAATGTAAGCCATAGAAATATTTCTCCCGGCCCAGGAATCGAATCTGGGACCTCTGCGTGGCAGTCACGGAGGCAATTAGTAGGACGGGAACGGGGCAATAGGACGTTCGGTAAGTTTCATTCGATAACTATGTTTTGAATAACGTTTGTAGCCTTTGCCGGTCAAGAAGTTCGAGTAATCACACGGGAGTGACGTCATTGCGGTTCGGTTTCGAATACGACAGTTTGACGTTCGATTCGGGTGTTGTGTCAACAAATATTTTTATTTGTTGGATATATATATAGCCAACAAATAAAAATATTTGTTGGATATACTGAGTTTTTAATATATATATATATATATTTATATACCGATTTCTTTTAATTTTTGCTATATAGATAGTAGTTATATGTATAATTCTGAATCGACCCCCAGCACCATTACCCTTCGAAACCGGAACGCAGTAATGCTGACATTCAAAGGATTGTAATCCTATCAAGCCGTGACCAGGTACACGGCAGTAAAACAGAAAATCGGATTAAGAAGAAATGGTAACAAAAAACGTAAGGAGTAAGGCCTTAAATGGGTCGAGTTATTCTGAATTGCAGATACGTATTCATAGGTACATGATAAGGCTGTAGACTGTTATACACTTATTAGAATTGACACATGATTTAGATTATATTATAATGATTACAACTTAATAAAAGAATTAGATGCGATTGAATTTAAACAGCACCGCCCGCTGTCGCGATCGAGCAGGGAGTGACGATGGAACGAAACAAAATCAGAATGCGAGGCACAAGAATGGAATAATTCAACATTTATATTTAAATACGAGTGGCCAGGAACCGGCGAAAGGCGCTAAAAAGGTGGGATGACGATGCAAGGAGGTCACACCGTCACAACATTATTGCTTGGAGACAGAAATAGGTAAGATGGCAGTACTTCCTTGGACGAACTCTTT